CTCACTCATTCATTATTTACCCATCAACCCATCTCTCCATCCACTCCCCATACATTTACCTAATCATCCATCATTCATCTATCTATTCACCAACCTTCCTCTCCACCCACCCATCCACCCATCCATCCACTCACTCATCCATTATCCACCCACTCAGGAGAAGCTTCCTGATGATCTCCTATTATGTGCCAAACATTGGGATACAGACAGTGAAGAAGACAACTTGACCTCTGCCCTCCTGCATCTACTGGCTTTGGAACAATTCAGACATTACACACATAATCAACATACATAATCAACGAACAATCACTACAAATTATGAAAAATCCTATGAAGGAATCCAACTGGTCTCAGAAACAGAGGAAAGCACCTGCCTTGAGCAAGGGGTCAGAGGAGCCTCCCCCGTGTGAAAGCTGAGAGCTGAAGGGTGAGAAGCCCTCCTGGCAGAAGGAACAGTAAACACAAAGGCCACCAGCACAAACTGCTCAGGAGCCTGAAGCTCTGTCCAGTCCAACTCCCTCCCCCAGTGCCCTGGGGAAAGCAGCGGAGGATGGCCCAAGTCCTTGGGCCCCTGCACCCGCATGGAAGACAAGGAAGAAGCTCCTGGCTCCTGGATTTGGATTGGCCCAGCTCCAGTCATTATGGCCATTTGGGGAGTGAACCAGCGGATAGAAGATCTCTCTCTCTGCCTCTCTGTAATTGCCTTTCAGATAAACAAAATAAACCTTTTTGTTTATCTGAAAGGCAGAGTTACAGAGAGAGAGAGAGGGAGAGGGAGAGGGAGAATCTTCCATCCACTGGTTCACTCCCCAAATAGCTACAGTGGCCAGGTCTGGACCAGATCAAAGCCAGGAGCCAGGGGCCTTGAACCTCTTCCAGGTCTCCCACATGGGTGCAGGGACCCAGGCACTTGGACCATCCTCTGCTGCTTTCCCAGTGCATTAGCAAGGTACTGGATTGGAAGTGCAGTGGCTGGGACTCATATGGATGCTGGTGTGTCAGGCGTCAGCTTAACCCGCCGTGCCACAACACTAGCCCTGGCTCTTATTTGTTTTTAACCTTTCAAACGCCATTGACCTCATCCATCCATAGCTCAGCCTATCCTGGGATCAAGGCTTGGCCCGAGGTCTGCAAGCCTGAGTGCTCCCTTGCTCCTGGTTCCTGAGGCAGCATGTTCTCACAGAGACACAAGAATGGCAGAAGTCCCCACTACGCTCCTCTTCAGGCTCCTCCTGCCATCTGGAACCGTGCCTGCACCATAGGAGGTCCTCAGTAAGCATCAGGCACGTGACTGACAGATGAGTGGATAACACTCAGCCACCAGGGCTTGGGTCCTGATTGCCTTTTGCCCCCTGGGCTAAGTGTCTGCGTCTTCACCTGCATGTGAGTCTCCTAATTCTCTCCTGAAACCAGAGAATGTGTGCAGATGTGATGGCAAAGCCCGGTGCACAGAGGAGGCTGGGTGGCAGGGACTGTCTCCTGCAGCCTGTGTGTGGCTCACTGTGGGCAGCTCACAGCCCTGTGGGCACTGGGCGGGGACCTCTGGGTCTTGGGGCTCAGCAGGCCTAGTATTGAAGGGAGCAACAGTCAGTGCTTACTGAGCACCTGCCATGTGCCAGGCATGTGGATTTCCTCACTGCATCCCCACAACAAACCCGGTGGGATGAATGTCCTCACTACACCTCAACCATGCAGCACTCTGCCTCCTGCTTCCTGCCAATGCACACCCCGGGAGGCAGCAGGTGATGGCTCGAGGAGATGGGCTCCTGGCTCCAGCCCAGTCCAATCCCAGCTATTTATAGGCATTTAGGGAGTGAACCAATAGAAGGAAATCTTCTTCTCTTCTCTTCTCTTCTCTTCTCTTCTCTTCTCTTCTCTTCTCTTCTCTTCTCTTCTCTTCTCTTCTCTTCTCTTCTCTCTCTCTCTCTCTCTCTCTCTCTCTCTCTCCCCCTCTCAAACAAGGCAGACAATCCACACTTTAAAAAAGAAGAAGAAGAATGAGGCCAGCGCCGTGGCTCACTAGGCTAATCCTCCACCTGCGGCACTGGCACACCGGGTTCTAGTCCCAGTCGGGGCGCCGGATTCTGTCCCGGTTGCCCCTCTTCCAGGCCAGCTCTCTGCTGTGGCCCGGGAGTGCAGTGGAGGATGGCCCAAGTCCTTGGGCCCTGCACCCCATGGGAGACCAGGAGAAGCACCTGGCTCCTGCCATCGGATCAGCGCGGTGCGCAGGCCGCAGCATGCCAGCTGCGGTGGCCATTGGAGGGTGAACCAACAGCAAAAGGAAGACCTTTCTCTCTGTCTCTCTCTCACTGTCCACAGAAGAAGAAAGAAGAAAGAAGAAGAAAGAAGAAAGAAGAAGAAGAAGAAGAAAATTCTGACACACACTACAAGGTGGATGAACCCGAGGACATTTCACTGAGTGAAACAGGGCTGTCATGGGACACAGACTGAAGGGACCTGCTTGGATGAGGCCCTGGGGTGGTCACACTGAGAGAAACAGGAGAGGGAACGGGGGCTGCCAGAGCTGGAGGAAAGGAGACTGGACGTCACTGTCATGGGCACAGAGTTCCAGTTGTACAGAGTGAAAGGAGTCTGGAGTCGGGTCACAGGATGTGCGTGTACGTAGCAGGGCCTGGCTGCTTGCTCGTTTTGAAAAGGTTAAGGTGGTGAACATTGTGTTTCGTGTATTTTACCAGCATTGCTGAAAGTGAAACATGCTATACCTGCAGGAGGGCCTGCACTGTCTGACCTGCAGTTTTCACAAACCTGAAAACGTGACAGAGCACGGCCCGGGAGGCTCGTGTGCCCTTAACCTACACTCAGCAGTGACAAGAGGGCTCATTACATGTTGAAAGATTGATTTTTAAGTTCTTATGAAAATACTCATACACACACACACACACACACACACACCATGTACTCAAAATCAGCCTTCTGCAGTCCACTACTAATGACTTATGACAGGAATTCACGCATAATTGCTATCCGTGGAGTCAGCCTGTAAGAATATTCCAAGCATTTAATTGACTTTTAAAAGAATAGCTACAGCAAGCTAATTAAATACCAAGTTAGGGAATGCGTTAATTGATATTTAATAAGGATGTCAATTGATGTCTAACTAGCCAATATGTCTCTTAAAATATGTCAATTAGATGCCTAAAGAGCCTTTCCAAAGGGATTACCAGTAGAATGCATCGAGGATGCAATTTGTTAATTTTTTTTTAATTACAAACTGCAACTCTCCCTGCTGACTTTCTCTGGATCCTGGAGCCATCTGTGGGCCACATGGTTGGTCTTCAAGTTGTCTTTACAGATCCATAAAGCCAGGTAGGCTTCCGTTGGGTGTAACATCTGTACAAATATAGGGGCCCAGAGAGGGTGAGTGGACCCTACCCACACTTTTCATCAAGTCAAAGGTGAGCTTTGCCTGCCCTCACCATGGCTGACTCGAGACAGTCATATACAGAGGTCCACATACAAAGTCCACGCATGCACTGTTCCCCATGCCTGACCACCTGGGACAGCAGGGGCTTCAAAGGCACAATCCCCTGCCTTCCTCCAGCACCGCTCTTCTCCCACATGGATGCCACCACGCCTGAAACCTACACACGCCAGCACCATCGCTTCCTGACTGCTCCATGATCACAGTGAGAATTCACTCAGGGAGCTGGCATTGTGGCATAACAGATCAAGCCACTGCCTGCAATGCCACCATCTCTTACGGGCACCGGTTTGAGTCCCTACTGCTCCACAGTGGATCCAGGTTTCTGCTGATATGACTGGGAAAGCAGTGGAAGATGGTCAAAGTATTTGGGCTCCTGCCACCCATGTGGGAGACCCAGAAGAAGCTCCTGGCTGTTGCCGTCAAACTGGCCTAGCCCTGGCCATTGCAGCCATTTGGGGAGTGACCCGGTGCATAGAAGATCTGTCTCTTCTTCTCTAACTCTGGTTTTTGAATAAATAAAATTAATCTTAAAAATTTAATCAGGAGATTAAACTTCCCAGTGCAATTTGGAGCCAACAGCAGAATCTCGCCTTCCTCTTCAACATTCTTACCAAATAACTACAGAGAAAATTGTGTCTTTCTTCCTTTCATTCATTTATTTTTTTATTTATTTATTTATTTTATTTTTTGACAGGCAGAGTGGACAGTGAGAGAGAGAGACAGAGAGAAAGGTCTTCCTTTGCCGTTGGTTCACCCTCCAATGGCCGCCGCGGTCGGCGCGCTGCGGCCGGCGCACCGCACTGATCCGATGGCAGGAGCCAGGAGCTAGGTGCTTTTCCTGGTCTCCCATGGGGTGCAGGGCCCAAGCACCTGGGCCATCCTCCACTGCACTCCCTGGCCACAGCAGAGGGCTGGCCTGGAAGAGGGGCAACCGGGACAGAATCTGGCGCCCCGACCGGGACTAGAACCCGGTGTGCCGGCGCCGCTAGGCGGAGGATTAGCCTAGTGAGCCGCGGCGCCGGCCCCCTTTCATTCATTTAATATTCACTGAAAGCCAACGTGTGCCAAGCACTTTGCCAGGATCTGGGGAGCTGGCTACGGACCCCACCCTCAAAGAACTCATAGTCCAGTGGGGAAGGATCAAGACAAGCCAGTCCAAGGTTACAGGGGCCCGTTCAGAGACGCCTGGTGTGTGCTAGAAGCCCCTATTTGGGGCCCACCCGGAAGCATGCCTAGAGGCAGTGATATCTGAGTTGAGATTAAGAGATGGGTCCCCAGTGGCTAGCTGAAGAGGGCAGAATGCTCCAGACCGGGGGTCCTGTGTGTACAAAGCCCCTGCGTGCTGATTAGAGTTGATGACTGAAGGCCGTTTGCAAGTGTTGAAATCTTGATCCAGTTATCTCCCGCTGCACCCTAAGCCCTCCTCAGCAACTGCCGGCTTGTGACGCTCTTGTTTCACTGCTCGTGGATTCTGTAGGAATCCAAATGGAACAGCCGTGACGGCTTGTCTCTGCTCTCCAGTGTGTCTGGGGCCTTAGCTGGGAAAACATAAATGTCCGGGAGTGACTCCATGGCTAGTTTAGTATCATCTACTGGCTTTTTCACTCACCTGTCTGGCTCCCAGCTTGAACAAATCAAAGGCTGGGCTCAGCCCTGACGTCAACACAGCATGGATATGTGGACTCCTTGTGTGCCTTGGGGTTCCTCACAGTCTGACAGCCTCATGGTAATCAAATATCTGACCTGGTGATCAAATATCTGACCAAAGGCTAATGTCCCACCCAACAGGGCAGGCTTTCATGACTTAGCTCCAGGGCCAGTGTTTTGGCATAGCAGGTAAAGCCACCACCTGCAATGCTAGCACCCCATGTGGGTGCCAGTTCATGTCCCAGTTGCTCCACTTCTGATCCAGCTCCCTGTTAATGCACCTGGGAAAAGCAGCAGAACATGGTTCATGTCCCTGGGCCCCTGCCACCTACGAGGGAGACCTAGAAGGAGCTCCTGGCTCCTTGCCTCAGAGTAGTCCAGCCCTGGCCACTGCAGCCATCTGGGGAGTGAACCAGCAGATGGAATCTCTCTCTCTCTCTCTCTCTCTCTCTCTCTCTCCCTTTCACACCCACACCCACACACACACCCACACCCACACACATGCATGCACACTTTTTTAAAAAGATTTATTTATCTGGAAGAGTTACACAGTCTGGAGAGAGATCTTCCACCTGCTGGTTCACTCCCCAAATGGCTGCAATGGCTGGAGCTGCACTAATCCGAAGCCAGGAGCCAGGAGCTTCTTCCAGGTCTCCCACATGGGTTACAGGGGCCCAAGCACTTGGGCCATCTTCTACTGCTTTCCCAGGCCATAGCAGAGAGCTGGATCAGAAGTAGTACAGCCGGGACTCAAACCGGTACCCATATGGGATGCTGGCACTGCAGGCGGCGGCTTTACCCATTAGGCCACAGCGCCAGCCCTAATAAATAAATCTTTTTTTTTTTTTTTTTTTTGACAGGCAGAGTTAAAACAGTGAGAGAGAGAGACAGAGAGAAAGGTCTTCCTTTTTCCGTTGGTTCACCCTACAAATGGCCACTACAGCCGGCACACTGCGCTGATCTGAAGCCAGGAGCCAGATGCTTCCTCCTGGTCTCCCATGCAGGTGCAGGGCCCAAGCACTTGGACCATCTTCCACTGCCTTCCCTGTCCACATCAGAGAGCTGGACTGGAAGAGGAGCAACCGGGACAGAATCTGGCGCCCCAACCGGGACTAGAACCCGGGGTCCCGGCACCGCAGGTGGAGGATTAGCCAAGTGAGCTGCGGCGCTGGCCCCTAATAAATAAATCTTAAAAACAAAGAAAGACTTATCCCCAGAAGTCACAGAAGGTCATTGCCACCTAGAGTTGAGATGGTGATCAGTCACACTCAAGGAATAGAATATAATTTGCCACCATGTTTTTTTTTAATTTTTTAAATTTTTTGACAGGCAGAGTTAGACAGTGAGAGAGAGACAGAGAGAGAGTTATAGACAGTGAGAGAGAGACAGAGAGAAAGGTCTTCCTTCCATTGGTTCACTCTCCTACGCCGGCGCTGTGCCTATCCGAAGCCAGGAGCCGGGTGCTTCCTCCTGGTCTCTCATGCGGGTGCAGGGCCCAAGGACCTGGGCCATCCTCCACTGCCCTCCCAGGCCACAGCAGAGAGCTGGACTGGAAGAGGAGCAACTGGGACAGAACCGGCGCCCCAGCCGGGACTAGAACCCTGAGGTGCCAGCGCCACAGGCGGAAGATTAGCCTAGTGAGCCATGGCGCCAGCCTTTTTCTTTTTTCTTTTTTTATTTTATTTTTTTTTAATTTTTTGACAGGCAGAGTTAGACAATGAGAGAGAGAGAGACAGAGAGAGAGGCCACCATGTTTTAAAACTACCACAGACGTTCATTGTTAGAGCAGAGAAGCCTGTGGAAGGATTTAAACAGACAAATAATATGATCTGATCTGTATTTTTAGGACATTCTGATATGAGTAGAGAAGAGTTAGTCAAAGGCAGAGTGGAGGCAGAGAGACCGATAAGGCAGCTGCCACAATCGTGAGTGAATGATGGCAATGGTGGTGGACATGCAGACAGGGGAAGGTTCTAGAGACTTGTTGGGGGATAGAATCAGCAAGATGCGGTGATGGCTTGGATATAGGAGATGAGGAAGAGGAAACATCAAGAATGACCTCCGCGGCTGGGGTTCAGGTGCAGAGGGCTAAGCTGCACTGGGGATGCCTGCATCACACACTGGAGTGCCAGTTTGAGACCTGGCCACTCCCTTCCAATCCAGTTCCTGGGAAGGCAGCAGACAATGGCCCTGCCACCCATCTGGGAGGAGGGAGTCCCTGGCTCCTGGTCCAGACTTGGATATTGCAGCTATGTGGGGAGTGAACCAGCTGGTAGAAGATCTCTCTTTCTCTGTCTCCCTGCCTTCCAAATAAAAATGAAAATAACTATTAAAAAAATGGACTTTCCCCCCATTCCTGAATTGAGTACTGAGGACATAGTAGCACCATTTGTTGAGATGGCAAATATTAGATGAGGATGGGGGAAGAGGGGAGAGACAAACTTTGGTTGTCATGTTTAGTCATGAACAAGTTGAGTTTGAGATGCCCTGTAAAATGATCTGTGAAATGCAGGTTCAGGGGTTTCATTTTGAGAATCACAGGTGGAAACTGAAACCACAGCCAGCGGATGATGTGGCCTGGATCAAGCCATGAGCCACTTGAGCCACTCCAACATGTAAAGATCAAGTAGAAGAGGAAGTGCAAAGGGAACTGTGGGGGAACAGCCAGGGAGAAGAGAGAGTCACGGAGGCCACAGACAGGTGAGTGGTCGAGATGGAAGGAGCAGTCAGTCCTAACACCAGGAGATCAGAAGAGGAGTGTGCTTCATAATAAAGGGTCTAGCATTTGAACATAGAGGACCACATGCCAAGCTCTGGGTTCCCTCTCACGTCCGTGTGGCAGGGCTTCCACAAATTATAAGCTCTGTACAGTTCGTTAGTTCTGCATCTTGCCAAAAATGGTTCCCAAGTTTATCCAGGAACATCAACCAATGGAAATGGCCCAAAATATTCTGCCAAACAAGAGTATTCAGAGAGAGAGTAAACCGAATGCAACGGCCAAAGGTCCTGCGTAAGCCCTGTCTGGGCCTCACTCCAGTGAACAAGCCTGCTGCACTCACGTTCTCCAGCAGCATGGGGGGACGGCGCAGAGGGGAGGGCGGGGAGCTTGGGGCAGCGGCTTGGGTGGACAGTCCCGTCACCTCTCTGAGCCTCTACTGCCCTGGTAATTCCAGAGCTACAGCATCTCGAGGTCCTATTGGCCCCACCGCAGACCCATCAAGTGATATCCCTTCTAGAATAGACAGCAAATCACTGTAGGCTGCCACCCGGCCCCACAAATAATTGGGCAGATGATGGTGTCATGCGGACAGCTGATGGGATTCCTGTGTGATCTCAGAGAAGGACAGAGACAGAACAGCCATGTGGTCACAAGCACAGCCAGGGTTCAAGTTCTGGATCTTATGAGTTGGATGGCCCTAAGCATGTTCCCCAACCTCTCATGGAAGCTGGAAAATAGATATTAAATCAGTTTGTCCCACCCGCTTTGGTGGCAGAGGACAGAGGGGAAATAGAAGGATAGCTTCAGCTTTCCCAGTATCAAGTGCAGATCCCAAAACGGGGACAAAAAGCTCAGCACTTGGTGTCAGTCAGCAAAGAGCCTGGCTTCTCTCACTTCCAGCGAGCAGGAAAAACCATCAGCAGCTCTAGCTGCTGTTCTCAGAGATGCTTATTCAGTTACCAATAACAACGGTTGCCAAGGAGACGGGCGGTCCAGCCTGCCAGTCTGGAATTGCTCTCAGGCCAGGGCTAGATTAGCTGCCTCCACACCCTTTCCAAACCAACAAGGCAGCCTGAGCCTCAGCTCCCTCAATCACCTACCCGGGCAGGGGGCTGGGCGAATTCCACTTGAGTTTTTCCTTCATCTTCCTGAGACAAGTCCCCGCTGTTGGAAAGCTGATCGGGATATTTGGGAAAGGCACGAGAAGTCTTGGGTATGGCATCCTTCCTAAGTCTTTGTAAAGTCAGTAGAAAGCTTGTGTTGGAGTGAGGTGGGGTGGGGTCACAGAGCAGGGGATGAAGCAGGCTACAGCAGGGTCCCGGACCCCAGCGATCTCAGACTGCTTTGGAGATTTGTGTTGGGGTCGGGCTCCATGGAGGGGGCCAGAGCAGACTGGGTTGTTTGCAGAGGGAGCTGGCTGGCCAGGCAGCTGGAAACAGCACACCAAGAAGGACAGCGCTGATTCGTGTCCCGGCTGGGAAAGCAGTGGAAGATGACTCAAGTGCTTGGGCCCCTGCACCCACGTGGGAGACCTAGAAGAAGCTCCTAGATCCTGGCTCTGGCTCCTGGCTTCAGATCGGCCCAGCTTTGGCTGTTGCAGCCATTTGGGGAGTGAACCAGTGGATGGAAGACTTTCTGTCTCTCCCTCTCTGTCTCTCCCTCTCAAAGAAATGGAAAAGCACCCCTGCTTCTCTAGGTCCTTGCAGGCTGCTCCTGCAGAGACAGGGCCAACTCAGACAATAAACCAGAGGAGTAGTGGTCAAAGGGACCAGAGGGGAGCTCTGAAATTGAACCCCTCAGGGGGGTGGGGCTTCACCATAGCTACCCCAGTCTCTTCCCCGAGAAGCCCACCTCCTAGTCTGGGGTCTTCCTGTCGCAGCATGCGTGTGAGTTGCTCCTAGCAGGTTGCCGAACGACAGCACCGTCCATGGACTGGCTGTCTGCTGAGGTAGGTAGTGAGCTCTCTGTCACTGGATGTGTACAAGCAGAGGTCAGGTGACCTGTGGGTGGGGCACATCTGAGAAGGATTCAGGACTGGAAGGCCTAGGAGCCCCCTGCTTTCTGGACTCCCTGACGCTGCAGTGAACGGCGGTGTCTCCAGCTCACCCCAGGGGCCAGTCGTGTACCATGAGGCTGCCTGGGTCCTCCAGCTGTCTGCCTCCCCTCCCAGGG